CTCAGTCCTGGGCAAACCAGGTCGCTGGCCACTCTACATTTGCCCCTGGCAGCCAAGTTGCTATAGGGGTTCTACAGACAAGTAGTCGTTATTGTTTTTATATAACAGGAAAACACATGAAGGTGGCATGCCCAGATGGAATATTATTCAGCCTTGAAAAGGAAGGAAATGTTGACACATGTAGCATGTGGATGAGCCTGGAGGACACGATGCTGAGTGAAAGCAGCCAGTCACACACAGACAGACGCATGGTTCCACTTACGCGCGTCTGGTGACTGCATGAGCATGACTGTCCACAGAGAGGGAAAGAAGAGGGTGTTGCCAGGGGCTTGGGCCCGGAGGGAATGGGGAGCTGTTACTGAATGAGTTCCGGGTTTCCATGTTGCAAGATGAAAAGAGGTTTGGAGATGGAAGGGGGTGATGGTCGCACAGTACTTAACACAACTGTGCACCTGAAGACGGTTAAGCTGGCAGATCCTAGGTTACGTGTATTTTACCACAGTTCAAAATGTGAGAGAAAAAAGGTATGTCAGCTATCACAGATAGTGCTGCTTGGGGTGGAGCTGTAGTGGTATTTACAGTGAACTCACATACAAAGTAAGTGCACAGGTGATGCCCCAGTGGTGGGAACTGGGGAAATGCAGACATCGTGCATTGTGAGCTCAGCTTGCAGGCGCCTCCTCGACCCTCAGCACCCTCAGCTCACCTGATCCCGTGGCCCTCATCCACCGCCCTGTGCACATTTCTGCTCCACAGGTGGCCCACCCACGGCATCCGGGAGAGCCAAATCCGATCCCTTGGGTCTGTGCAGACTGGCGGTGTCAGGGGTTTGAAATCCTGAATCCTGACATTCACGAAAACTCTGTGCTTCACGTTTGCCCGGGCACTGCCAGCCTCCCCATTCGTCAAGAGCACCCAGTATGGGAGAGGGAGATCTGGGGCCCAGGGGTGGTGGGCAGGAGGGTCCCAGCAAGGAGAAGTCGGCTCTGTGTTGGGCTTTTTCCCGGAGGAGGCTAAGCAGCTGGGCTCCATGTCTCCTCGCCCATCACATGCTGCCAGTGGACATGCGTGGCTGTGACTGGGCTGTGGGGAGGGGGCTGTTTGGGGGGGAACCAGAGGTGAACCGTGCCCTTCCTGTGTGCCAGCATGCATATGAGACACAGCTGGTGCAGTGACCCCGGGGAGACAGTTCCCAACTTGGACACCAGCCGGGGGACTGTGGACAAGTTCGCTCAGGGGGTGTTTCCAAACCATGCTCTGCAGAGCATCCCATAGGTGTGATGCACAGAAAGCCTTCCAAGTTCAAGTGAGGTTGGGTCCTTACACTGCTGTCCCCAGTCCAAAATGGCCACAACAGTACAGGGTGGGGCAAAAGGAGGTTGACAGTTGTTGGTATGGAAACTAATCATTAATGAATAATAATGCAAGAATAAACTCTGTTTCACGTACTCACCACTGTAACCCTGCTTTTGCTCCACCCTGTGTTATTAAGTAACAGGCAACATTTATCAAAGGCTTATATGATACGCCAGTTGCTACGGCACAGGTCTTACACGCGTGATTGTATTTCATGCTCGCAACACGTGAGGTTTATGGAGATGAAACTAGCGCGCTCGAGGTCTGGGCTTTCAGGAAGAGACCACGGGGAGAAGATGAAGAGGGAAAGAGGAAGAGAATTAACTACCGAGATCCATGCTCGATTCAGAGCAGCTCTTAAGCTTCAAAGGGCAGGCGCCTCATCTGGGAATCCTGTTAAAGAGCAGATTTTAACTCCGCACTTCTTGGGCAGAGGCTGAGATAAGGTGTCTAACAGCAGAGGGCTGGTGCTCTCGGAGTGAAGACAAGACTGAAGAGAGAGACGGCAGAACACCTGTAGCTCTTCTCCCGCACCTGGAACGGAATCATTCACTCCCTCATTTACTCACCCGTTCATTGGCAGAAGTCGTCTGGTGTTCTAATCCCGATTCTTGAGTTTACTAAATAAACGGCTGACATCTCTGGGTCTCCGCTGCCCGTTCGTCAAATGGGAATGAAACACACATTTTGTAGCATCTTGGTGAAAGCCAAGCGCAACAAAATGGAGCAGAAATCAGCCCGAGGGCCTCGGCCACGTGGACATTCCGGAACTGGTCATGGTGCGCCTTTCATTATCCATTCACTTATTCCTTTCAGCCAGTGTTCCCATATGGCTCCAGTATGCACATTTTAATATGTCTTTATGAAACACCAACATGTTTATGAAAACAAAGATGTCCCAGTGGCTCCAAAGGGTACGGCGGTGGACCCCCGAGTCACCACCATGAGTCAGGGGAACTGGCGTTTCTTCCAACAATGTCTGCTAAAGGTGCAAAGAAAGGGGTGAGGGGACAGCCCCAAGGGATGAGCTGTGGGAGCCACTTGGCAATGACTCCGCCAGAAGAGGGGGTGAGAGCTGCGTGTGCGGGGGAGGGAGAGCAGGACCAGAACTGGGTAAAATGTCAGCAGGTCGCAAGCTGTCGATTATCTGAAGAGAACTAAATATTATGTAGGCAATTATCGATGGGTGTCTGAAAGCCACAGTAGGAGAACTTGGTCCCCAGCCGAGCCCCATCTCCCCTCAGAGAAGGGCTGGCAGGCAGGGTTAGCATTCCGAGCAGGCTTTCTGTGCAGAGGGAGAGCGAGGGGGCTGGGGCCCCAGGGAGGGGACAGGCAGGGGACACCGCTCTCTGCTTTGAAAAGCGGCTTTACCCGCAAGCGCTGGGCTTGGAAGCCAGAGCCCCCTCCCGATCCACCCTCCCTCCCCCAAGATGTCATCTTTTGAGAGGATTTCATGTGGAAGCATCGCTAAGTAAATTCGCTAAATGCCTATTCATCCCCGTCAGATGGGGACTTGGTGAAGCGGTAAATGTGAAAATGGCCCCAGCTCAGGGCCCTGAACGGGCTTTCTGGGTTGTCAAATGGAACTGCAGCCGCTGACCCCGGGAGCCCCGAGGCTTCGAGAGGGCCCCCCGCTCCCCCGGGGAGCCCCGGCCCGGCCCCTTCAATCCTCCCACTGAGGCTACTGAGAGGCCCCTATTTATTATTCCTGCTGCCAGGGACCCATTCAGAGGTTAACTTGTCCCCGTATTCATCAGGACAACAATAATGAACTGTCGCAGAGAGTATCGAGGGGGTTGGTGAATAGGAACTGCTCAGACGGTAGATGGTTTGGAGGGAGCATTCATTTCTTCTGGGCTGATTCAGTTAACACCTCTCCCAGCAACTTCAAGAGGCTCTGCCCATCAGTTACCATAACTAGGCACAAGCAGGTGGGTTTGACCACACGGGGTGCACCGTCGTGCAGACACGTGGGGTGAGCCTTTGTCTGCATCCCTGGGGCTCACCTCTGTGCACACCGGCGGGGCTTAGCTTGCTGTGTTTGCTAGATTTAGTTCATTGCAGATGCACAGGGCTTCTCTGGAGTCTGTCTGCTAGACGGGCTGGTGTTCAGTTGGTGTTTATTTCAGTAATAGGAGGGGACATCAGCAGTGCTCATTTTCACGGCAGCGTCTCTTATCGGCTCTGGGCCTCCTCCGCTGGAATTATGAGTTGGTCAACATGAGTCACATCCAGTCACTTCTGCAGGGAAATGAAGGAGCGGTGAGGGGTGGGGGCAGCTCTGACCAGATGGTGGGGGCAGAGAGAGGAGAGCAGCTTCTACTTACTATACACCTAATATGTGCCTTATAAACCCACTCAGTTGTCCATTCAGAATATGTGGAGAGCGTGCTGTGTGCTGGGCAGCCAGGTGAGTTCAGAGAAGGTAAATGACGTACACCCATGGACACACAGGGCCTGGGCAGGAGAGCACCTGCCATCTGTCTCCAGATTCTCCTGCTTCTTGAGCCCAGGCATCACCTTCGAAGGTGCCCATGTGCCCCCCAAAGGTCTAGCCTTCATTCTACCCAGGACTGCCCTTCCTTTCCACTGCCTTCCCCTCTCTCCCAGTGTGAAGCCCTGGTTAACCCTTTTCTCTTAAATAAAACTCCCCGAGCAGAGAAGCCTGATGATAAAGGAGCTGTCACTTCAGCACCATTTACCTGTTTGGGTTTACTCGGCAGAGGCGGCGACTGCATTTCTGGCAGATGGAGACCCGTGTGACTGCCTTTTAAAACACTGTCACAGCTGTATGCACAAGCTGATTAGCTGTGACTACACGGCTGGTGCCGAGATTGATGGTGATAAATTTGGGATAACAATGCTGGGAACGATGGCATTCGTTTGTATGTCACTTTATCTTTTTTAAAGATCTCTCAATCAGTTGCCCAGTGGTTATCAAGAACTTGGTGTACATTTATGCCTTCATTCATGTCTCGAAATGTCCTTGGAAGAATCCGGTCAGATCCGTCTCACTTTGATTCATTTATTCATCCACAAACATTAATGTGGCTCCTACTATGTGCCAAAGATGAGCAAGTTCAACTAGGTTCTGTCTTCGGGGAACTTGCATCCTACTGGGAGGAAGTTCAGCATCTTCAGAGGGTGATAAGATAGTGAAGTAAATAAAGTAATAGGATAAAGCAGAGAGGGGGATGCAGGTGATACTTTCAGTGAGGTGGCCATAAAAGGCCTCTCTGATGACATGACATTTGAAAGGGGACCTGGATAACAACAAGCTAGTGATGGGAAGGTACAGCAAGTGCAAAGGCCCTGAGGTTGCTGTGTATTTGGCATTGAGCTACACACTGATGACTTAACTGTTTGCCAAGCCCAGGGCTGGACACTAATGATTCCAAAATGAATAAGATACTCTGCTTATCCTCATGGAGTTCACTGTATAGGGAGCTTGTAGGAGGCACACAGACTGTGTTTTCATGTAGTGTGGTCAGGCCAGGGATGGTGACTCCTGAAAGAATACAGCCTCATCAACTGGTGTGGTGTGAGAGGAGGGATCCTGCTTTCTGTGACCAAGAACGGAGCCGAGACTCAATTCTCCGTGGTCTCTGGAGGATTCTGACTTTCCTCTTTGTTTGTTTCTACAGGACGAATGACCAGCTGGTGGCATTTCTCTCCCGATACCGAGATATGAATTTCTTGAAGTCACATGGCCGGGACAATGCAAGGTAGTACACCCTCTCCCTGTCTTGGTACAGAATGGAAATGCAAATGCATGTGCTTTGGGGCTTCCTTCTAGGCTGGTTTGGTGCAGCCAGAAAAAGAGTTGGGGATGAGAGAAAGGCAGGCATGGTGGCCTCGCCCCTTCCAAGTAGGGTCTGGAGAGGTCCCTCCTGTCAGCCCAGGACAGAGATCATCGTAAATGTGTCTCATCACGTCATTGCCCTTTACACCTTTTGTCCAAGCACTTTGGTGAGTCCAGTTTCTCATTGTGGCAACCCTTTGAGGTAAGGAGGGCAGCCATTTTCAAGTCCCATTTTATTGGTGGGTAGACTGAGGCCCATAGGTTGTGATGTTCCCAGATCAACCATTTGATCAGCCAGTCATTCAACAAACGTTTGCCAAACGCCAAGCGTGTGCCAGGCACCCTTCTAGCAGTGGTCAAGACAAAATCCTCGCTTATGGAGTTTACTTTCTAGGGGAACAGAGTCTCGTGCCAGCATGGACTTGAACTCGAGTATCCTGACTCCAGCCCTGTGCCCTCGCCATTGCCTCCTTTTGCTGCCCAAGACTTTGGCAGGGATTCGAGGCACCCAAAGCCCAGTTGGACCCATTATACCTCCCTCATTAAAATGAGCAATGCCAAATAGCATCACTACCATATAGCTTTGAGCTAAGTTCAGATCACCAAGGCCAGAGATCAGCTAGAAGGGATTAGTCTTGAGCGCCCCCTGTAGAAGGGCTCACACAATCAGCTCCACCATCCAGATGTAAAATACCATTAAAATCCAGCCCAGGAGCACTCTAACGGCTTAGAGTCATTTTCTCGAGTTGACCTCAGGGCGCAACCTGGCAGCCCATAGGGTAACGTTAGCTTGTTCACCTGTTTTGTGTGGCCCTCGTGTTGGTTTTGTTTTCTTGTATTTAATTCAGGTGCTTTATTTGAAAAAGAATAGTCCATTTAAAAATTGCAGTATTTCCCATAAAAATCCAGATTTCCAGTGCATCTTAAAAGATCAGAAGGTCCGCTAACTCAGTTTCTGAATTTTTTCGTGGCAGTCATCAGCTGGATCTTAGATAATGCTCGTGTTTTCCAGGTCTCTGAAATCTTGCCCGTCTCCCTTCCCTGCTGGCCCCGTGGGCATTTCAGTCTGCCATCTCTGCGTTCGGTGTCCTCCGCCCGGCTGGTGGAGGTGTGACTTCCTTTACCAGTTCTCCACAGCAAGGGGGGTGGGGGACAAAGGAAGCCGTGCGCTGCGTTTCCTAAGCTTTCGAGTGGTAACCCCTGAGTCCTGTGTTGCATCACCTGCCTGCATTTTAACTCTGATGTCATCAAGCTTTGATAGATTGTTCCTGTCCTAGCCACAGCCTGCATTCTTTGCATTTAGAAAGAGCCCCAGTTCTGGCTGGTTTGGCTCGGCGGTTAGAGTGTTGGCCTGCGGTCCGGAGAGACCCGGGTTCGGTTCCCGCTAAGGGAATGTACCTCGGTTGCAGTTTGTCTCCGGCCCTGGTTGGGTCATGTGGGAGGCAGCCACTCGGTGTGTTCCTTTCATGTCAATGTTTCTCTCTCCCTCTCTCTCTCCCTCCCGCTCTGTCTGAACAAAAAATAGAAAAATGTCCTCAGGTGAGGATAAAAAAAAAAAAACAAGTAATTAGAAAGAGCCCCGGAGTGGACGATGCTCTGTAAACCAGCACAGATGAGTGTAGCGTGTTCCGGCCGCTAAGGGCAGGGGAGGCCTGGGTGGATAAAGGACTTTGTGTGTTGAGCTCCTAAGTGCCCATTGCTCTGCTGGACCCTTTTCAGGCAGGATCCAAGTTCATTCTTACAGCCACTTGACGTAAAAACAAGAATTAGTATCCCCATTTCTCGGGCGGGGGGGGTCTTTGAGAACCCAAATGTTTTTTCCCAAGGCCACACAGATGGAAAGTGCTAGAATTTGAACCCAGGTCTCTGGCCCCCAAAGCCCATGGGAATGAGGTAGAGATGAAAAAGTTTTCTCGGAGGCGGTTAGTCATTGAAACTGGCCCATGTTTCTGTGTCTCTGCTCTTAGGCAGAGCATGAAGGCCTTCTTTCCCTCCAGAGAACCTTGTCTCACGTGTTCAGTGCAAATGAAGTTGCATCATGAGAACAGAACCCATTGTAAGTTGGTAGACATGTCTGAGTTACATCTACCCTACTCTTCTTGTTTCAGCCTAGTCAGTATTTATTCTCTGACTACTGTCTCCAGGCACAATGCTAGGATCTGGGTATAGGACAGAGGTTGAAATCATGGGCCTTGAGGTTACACCTCTTGGGTTGGAGTTCTGCTCTCTCATGTCCTAGCTGTGTTGCATTGGATAGGTGACTTAACGTCTCTGAGCCTTTTCCCTTACCCATACAATGGGAATATTGATAGACCTACACTCATGGGATTGCATAAAGAACATCTGACATATAGTAGATGGCTTACGATGATGGTGGTGGTGGTGATGCTAATGGTGTGCCATGGTAAATATAGGACTATAATAATTGCTGTTGGGAAATTGAAATAGATGGCATGGTGGCCAGAGTTGTGCCTCTGGGTGTGTGAGTACATTCTGTCTTATTGATGTGCCTCGGTAGTTGACAAGTGGTACCCAAGAAGCATGGGACAGGATGAAGGCTCAGGCTAAAGAGTTGTTGCTTGTACCTCCTTCTAAAACCCTAAAATCACAAGTTCAAACACTCACCCATGAGTCCTCAGCTGGGGTGCTCTCACTTGATGAATTAAGGCCAGTAATTTCGTGTTAATGTAATAGTAGCGGGAACCAACATGGAGGGGGCATGCAGGAGGCAACCGATCAGTGTTTCTCTTTGGTCAGTGTTTCTCTCTCTCCCTTCCTCTCTCTCTAAAATATCAATAAAAGCATATTTTAAAAAAGATCTACCCTCTTAGCAATTTTCAAATATACAATACAGTATTATTGACCATAGTCACCATGCTGTACATGACAGCCACAGGACTTATTTGTTTTATAACTGGAAGTTTGTACCCTGTGACCCCCTTTCCCATTAATTTCACTTTCGTTAATTCTATTGTCCTTTGCATAGGTTTTAATTTTGTGACGTCAGGTGGTGACCCTTCCCAAATTACTAGCCTTATTCCACAGATGAGAAAACTGAGACTCAGAGAGGTGAAGGAGGTTGCTTAAGCTCACACAGCTAGGGCAGAGGACACAGGTACTGTGTCCCAGGAGCTCAGCACCCCTGCGTGGGGAAGCTCTCTGTGTACTGGTCCTGCTTGCCTCCAGTGTGCTGGCTGGCTTTGAGGCAGCCACTCTGCTTCTCCGGGCTTCATTTCTTCCCTCTGAAAAACAAGGGGGATGAATAAGATGGTCCCCAAAGTCTCTTCCCATTCTGATGCTTCTGGACCAGTTCTTGTAAAAGACATTTTGACAGAGCAGGGAGCTTAAAAGAAAGATGGGAAGGGACAAAAGCAAGCAGTGAGACACAAAATAGGCCACATGGTGCCTCCGGTTTTAACTCCACGTGGTTCCTAATAGCAGAATTGACCTTCTGTCCCCATCTCCAGCCCTTCGCAGCCAATCTGGACTTCCAGCTCCCGCTGCGAAGAGCTAACATAAAGGCAAACTAGTATTTTAATAGCTGCCAAATTGGTCCTGACTGTTCCTGTAATTAAATGAAGGGGAGTGTTGTGTTCACTGTTTCTCCTTGCTTTCCTCCAAAAATAAAGTAACTAGATACATTGAAAGACACGTCACACGTTCTCCTCTGCCCGGATAGCGCAGCAGGGTTGGCAGAAGCAGGTGCCCTGACGTCCCCTTGCAGCCTGAGTCGGCGGGTCTCTGCGGACATCCCCGGGAGCTCCTGGCTTCTGCTTAGGGAGCATCTGAGAAGTTTCCCCAATCTCGGCAGCCTGATCAAGTCCCCGTGTGTGGGTCAGGTCCCTTCCAGGGGGATGGAGAGGAAAAACCATTGCCCTCAGCAGAATAGGGTTTCCTCTGGGGCATTTGCTGCCTTGGTTGATCTACTCTCTGTGCCTAATTCAGCGTCAGCAAGGCCCCACTGCTTCGTTCTGGAATGCAGCGTGGTGTAGTGAGCTCGGGCTCGGGGTTACCGCCGGCTCTGCCGTGTGGCAGCCATGACGTCGACAAAGGACTTTGACTCCCCACACCTTTGTTTCCTCATCTTTATAAAATGTGGACTGTGATGTCGGAATTGGGGAGCACCGAGTTTCCTCGATGACCACGGGGAGGCCCCGAGCCAGGTGCTGTCAAGTACGCTCTCTCATCCAGCCTCATGTGACAGGTGCTACCCCATGGGAGGGACGGTACGTCTGAGGCTTGGAGAGTTGCTTTCACGTGCTCAGGGTCCCACAGCTCCTGGATGGCACAGCTGGGATTGGAACCGGGTCAGCCTGACTTTTAAGGCCTGTGTTCTTTTCTCACTCCAGGATCTGAGAGGCCCCAAAGTTTTAAGTTCTTGGGGTGTATGAGTGAAAGAGCAACATTCCAATGACTTTAAGCAGAATCGTTTTTTAAATGAGTGAGGGATGGAAATCAGGTCCTTCTCCTACTTTCTGGAGTTGGCCTATCCCAGAGTGTATTCATGATCCCCCAGTGACGTGTGACATTGTTCTGGGTAGTTCAGAAATGGGCCCTCCTGGGGAAGCTGGGCGTTGAGCCAGCGTGCATCCATGAAAATTATATAATCAGCCCATCTAGCCCGTGACTCCAGGGGTATGATGCTTAGAATAAGACTAAGTTTTTTAAAAGCTGAAGCTATTTAAAGTCGGTGTCAATAAAAATATTGAGAATTTCTTGTAGGGTTACTACATTAAGCACAGAGCAGTTGAGAACCCAGGCTCTGGAACCAGACTGCAGAACTCACACTAACTGCTCACTAGGTGCGTGGCGTTGGTCAGTTACACCTGTGAGTCAATCGTCTGATCTGTGACTTGGAAATGATGATAGTAAAACCAACCGCATGGACTTCTTGCAAGAAGTGAATGAGTGAATATATGGATA